GTTATAATGTAAATAAACTTACGAGCTATAAAATGTAATATAATCAAGGTTAAGATATTGATGTTAGTAGATATGTTAGCAAATAATTTAATTATTAAACAATAAGTTATAATGTAAATAAACTTACAATCTATAAAATGTAATATAAAAAAGTTAAAATATTGAAATCAGTAATTATATTTGCAAATAATTTAAATTATTAACAATAAGTTATAATGTAAATAAACTTACTATCTATAAAATGTAATGTAAATAATATTGATGTTAGTAGGTTTGTTATCAAGTAATTTAATTATTAAGTTAGCAAATTATTAGACAATAAGTTATAATGTAAAATAAACTTACGTTCTAAATAAAAAAAGACAAAGTTTTTTATTAGCAGATTATTAAATAATAGGATTAAATATAAGCGAGGTAAAAGTTTCGATTTTTGATTATATTAATATTAAATTATGATATACTTACTTGTAGGAACTATAAACCAGATGGTTTAAAGTAATTATAATTAGCAAATAATTTTAAATAATAAACTATAATATAAATAAACTTACATTCTTTAAAATGTATTACAAACAAAAAAGTTAGTAATTATGATTAGCAATGATTTAATTATTAAATAATAAGTTATAATGTAAATAAACTTACGTTCTATTAAGGGAGGGTTAGTATAATAATATTAATAATTATATCAGCAAATGATGTAATAATTAAATAATTAAATCATAATATAAATAAAACTTACGTTCTAGTATAAAAATGTTAAAATATTGATGTTAGTAGTTATGTTAACCAATTAATGTTATTATTAAATAATAAGTTATAATAAAAATAACTTACGCTCTTTTAAAATATAGTACAAGAATGTTAGTAGTTATATTAGTAAATGATTTAATTATCAAACAATAAGTTATAATATAATTTAAACTTACGAACTATAAAATATCGTATGAAAAAAAGTTTTTTTATTAAACAGATCATTAGGTTATAATGTATTAATGTATTAAACAATTAAATTATAATATACTTACCTGAAGGAACTATAAACCAGAAGTTTAGTTGCAAAATGATATAATTATTAAATGGTATGCTTTTTTATTTTCATATTTTAAAATTCTTGTATACTTACCTTTAAGAGTATATTCATATGCTTTGGTCTCATAATCTAAAATTGCAAAATAAAATTAGTATTACATACGTTAAAGTGTCTATACTCAATAAGCACAGTATATATACATACTTGGTTGAAATCTGTTCTCATATGAATTTGTTGCAGACTGAGGTGATAATTCCATATCATCTACAGAATTGTTCATATTTATCATAATTGCTTTTCCTTTATTAGAGTAACTGGTTGGTCCCATATTAAGACTTAAATCAAATGCTCTAGTATCATATCCTAAAAGAATACTAAAAATTAATAAAAATATTTGCTTTAAATTATAATGCATTCAAATCTTTAATTTATACCTGGTTTATCACTATTATTGGTTACAAAACTAGATTGCACTTTTGATAAAATTGCATTATTATCAGCCATTTTACATAGTTCCAACATTTCTTCAAATAATTTTGGTAAAAGGGAGGCATCAGGTCTTTCTAATGGATTAGAATTCCAACATTGTCTCATAAAATCAGCGTAAAAATCTGGTGTCCCTTCAACAATTTCAGGTCTCAGTCCATCAAGAATTGCAAGTGCAAGTCCTATATCATGATTATAACTATTTGAAAATGGAGGCTTCTTTGAAGCTAACTCCCACATTATCATGCTTAAACTATATACTTCCGATTGTTTTGTATATGGTTTACATGTTAGAACTTCAGGAGCGATATAAGGTAAAACTCCTTGAATGTTATCCGAAGCTTTTAGAAAAGCAAAATATAATTTTATTAATTATTTTATGAAACAAAAAATTGTTTTTCTTTAATTTTTACCTATTTCAGAGTCAATTGGTTGACAAAGTCCAAAATCGCTTATAAAAATTCTATCACCTTCGTCTACTAAAATATTTTTACAATGGAAATCCTTATGAAGTAAATTCATTTGATGAATAGAATTTAAAGCTTTTGAAAGCTCAATAAGAATCTTTACTCTATCGGTCCAAGTTAATTTTGGAAAAAAATCACAAATATAATTTCGTAGATCTCCATGTTTTGCATGTCTTATTACCATGGCGTATTCATTTCCTTTAGGTGCTTTTGTTATTCCATAGAATGGCACAACTCTTGGATTACGGCATTGATGGTGAATTTTAAGCTAAATAAATAACAATAATTAATTTCAGGAGAAAATATATTTCTATTGATTTTATTTTTTCTTACCTCGTTGAGGATATGATCATTAATGTTATCGGAATCATTAATGGCTTTTAAAGCAACTTTAAAAGATAATTGATTTGAAACTATTGAAGCCAAAGACATGTTTAACATTAAATTCCAATTTCCAAAATAAACTTTGGAATTTCCTCCATTTGTTAAATATTTTACATTTTCTAAATTTGAATGTGGAATCCATTCGATAAAATCATCACAATATTTTGAATTTAATTGAGTTTCATTAATAAATTCATCCAATTTAAAATTTCCACTTGTTTTGTCATTAAATTGTACGCTACGAATTTCACTATATTCATTTATTCGCGAAGAAGAAAGAAATTGTCTCCTACAAAGTTGATTTGGATAATTTATCACTTTTTGATTACATTGCATACAAATATTATTATATTCTAAACCTTCCAATAAATTCATGTTACTTATTTTATAGTCAAGAATATATCACTTTTTAGTGAGAAAAATAATTTATTTATTTATATATTTTATAGACTCGAACATTTAAGGAAAGAACTACATATGTATCAATAAATGAAATTGGTTATAAGTTAGCCACAAATGCATAATGTATACACGAACATGCATATTGTGTAACAGTCTATTTTTGGTTTAGCCATTAAGAAATTGGTTTGGTCGGAATTTTTCGGGACTCCGTTATATTATTGGATAGATAAACAAAATTTGAAATAACATTCTAACAAAATATGGCAGGTAAATTCCTGAAAAAAAGAAAGTTCAAAAATAAGTAATACATGCATGCATTTGTATAAATAGACTTCTTTAATCAAAAAGATTCATTTGCTATTGAATGAAACTTTATATTATTAAAAAATAATTGCCATAATTTATAAAGAAAACATTTGTGTTTAAGATCTTTAATTCTATGCATGGAATTTAATATAAAATTTACGATATTTTTTTTTTTTAAAAAAAAAAAAATTTCATTGATAATCCAAAAATAATATTATGCATATAATAGGACCGAATATGTCACGAAGTCGCAGTGACCGGTTAATCATTTCATATTAATGGATTATTAATAGCTAGTGACTCGATTTTTATTAATTTTATATAGATTTATTTTTTTTTATTATATTACTGTATATTATGTTATATTATATTATTAGATAGTTTTTTTTATTGTATTATTTTAGTTAGAATTTAGATTTTATTTTACAATTATTGTTAGCCGTTGGATGATCATGATTAGGTAAGTTAATTGACGCAGGACCTGGCAAGTTGTCACCAGGACAATTTGTCCGGTGTACAAATTATTCCATGGTTTAATCCATTAGAATTTTACGTTATAAATATTCCTCAAGATTGAGACAAGTTTTGCAATTTTTACAAATTTTTTAAATTTTTACTGTAACCTGTTTTTTCTTTCGAAAAATAGTTGGTTTTAAAGTTTTTGATACAGAATTTTATAGGAAGTGTTTGATAATATTAAATTTACTACAGAGACAGTAGTAAAAATTTTATTATCAACGCACCGCTTATCATTTTAGATTTCTTAACGTGACACATAAATAAACTGTTATACTTTTGATCGTATTTTTATTTTCTGTTATCACTGAATTTGGTTAATAAATTGATAAATTTATTAGAGATGGTTAGCTTTGATCGTAATTGAATAAACATAGATTTAATAGATTTTTTAACATATACGTAAAAAGGTCAGGTACGAGTTTGCGTACAACTAGTCAAAAAAAAACATGAAAATCTTTCCTTTTCGTGGAAATCTAGTGTCTTTTTTGGACACTGACCGAAATTATTATAATTCTGGCCCTGAAAAAAATGCGTATAGCCAACAGTATAATTTTTTTGGCTGTCATTGACCTTTTTATATATATATTTCGGGTTTCATATAATATAAGGTATTAGGTATACTTATTTGTGTTAACATAAATTAGTAATCAATTTAAAAATATGATGCAAATTAAATTTTAAATAACTAAATTAATTATAAAAATGAATGATTTTTCGAGAGAATTATTATTTTCTTTAGTAAAAACTATAAATTATAATATAAATAAACTTACCAACTATAAATTATAATCCGAAGGTATCCAAAAAAATTAAAAGCTTTAGTAATTATAATATGACAAATAATTCAATTATAATAAAACTTACTACCATATACACGCAATTGTCCATCTTTTTTATTAAGCTGTTTCTTTATATGCACACATCTTGTGCAACAGTCTCAATATAATACTGATCCTCAGTTTTTTCGAAGACAGGGTAAATATCCTTTTTTAATTCATCCTAATATTTCTAATGCTAATACACCAAATATCGCTATTGATAATTTATCTGAATTAATGAGTAATATATTTAAGGGTATGTTCTTTACATTAATAATATTATATTTTTTACACAAAAGTCACGTTACCGAAAACTTTTTGGTGGTAGTTAGAAGTGTATGCAAATTGTGATTTATCAATCCTTTTTTGTAAATCTAATGATATAAATTCGTTAACAGTTAAAACAATTATGAGATATCCAATGATCTTGAACGATAAGCCTCTTTCAAATCTATAATAAAGAAAAGATCAATAATTTAAATAATTTATGCTATTAATTTATAAACAATTTACCATCCAAAGAAAAATTGTAAGTTTGTGTCATATATCTAGAATCTAACAATAAAAATGATATTAATTATTTAATTATTTTTTTTTAAAGCAAATTGTTACATTAAAACACCTACCTTCTTCTTCATTAAATGTATCATCTCTGTCATTATTATCTTTATAAAAATGTTACAAACATTAACGTTAAAATTTTGATGTTTAGTAACTCAGTAAATCAGTAGTTATAGTTAGATCGATGATTGAAAATGTTCAATTTTTAAATATACTAATAAAAAAAATACTAATATAATATTACAAACAATATCCACCTGATTGTCCATCAAAAATTTAGTGGCCCTTTTAGCTCGATTTAAGACATCATCTTTATTTCCATGAGTAACATTATTATCAAATAATCTATTAACTTCGTCTTCGGTATACTTGAGTGCCAAATCAGTAGCTTTAGATACATATTCTAAGGTCTTATTTTGGGCTCTTTCAAGTTCAACTTTACATTTTGCCCTGGCAGCTGCTCCTGCTACAATCAATTCGGAGTTAAGATAATGATCTTTTTATGTTACAGCACGACCATCAGATCCATAAATAACAGATTGAGAAGGTTTATTTAAAACTTCTGTGACGATGGTAGTATTTTTGCTATTGAGAAATTCGCAACCTTGTTGAATCAAATATTGTTCACAGGCTGAATATAATTCTTTTTCCAAATCAGAATTATGGACTTGTTCGCTGATCCAGGCACTTGCACGAATTCGTATTCAACCAAAACAATTTTGAAATAGGTGACAATGAATGCAGATATCCAAAGACTCTTATCAAGACGCCTCAAACGTAGACTACCAACATAAGATTTAAGAGTTTCGACAGCTTCTTCGGGTGAAGAAATCTTGAGTTGTTCGGAAATTATTTTGTGAAGAGTGAAAGATCCATTGTTATGTTGGGATTTGCATAAAGAAATAAAGAGCATGGTCAACTTTAGCATCAGATCTAAGTCCATTATATATGGTAATTTTTGTTGTTTCATCTACATCAAGCTTAGTAACTTGAACATTTATGGTTTGATTATTATAAGCCTCCACAGCTTTTTCAATCAGATACTGGTCGCAGGCAGAGTCTAATTCTTCCAACTCTTCTTTACTAAGTTGTTTACTGACTACCCATTTATTTGCTTTTTCACAAATGTTACGCCATTCACTTTCGTAATCAACTAAAACATATTTGAAATATATATGTAATAGTAAATAAAGTTTGCCAGATTGATTTATCACAATTTTTTTAGATTTTTGGTGCCAACATAACGAGTAATTGAATCGTTTATTAATTTCTGATTACATTGTATACAAATGATATCTTCTAACACGTTCATGATGGCAAGAAAATATCAAGAATATATTTTTTATGTTTAGTAACCGTCATACTCCATATTTTTAACGTTGTTTAAATAAAGTGAAGATCTACATCGCAGACATGAATGAAATCAGGTGACGCAAATATTTACGTTAATCACTGTCATTTTCGGGTTTGTGGGCGCGGTTTCTACTTTATGCACCCCACAAAACCGGGTGCAAGTCATAACTAGTTGTCATACAAAGATAATACAAAAAAAAGTGGCTTGACACGTGACTTTTGACCCGCATTACGGCATTATGCACTAACATGTGAAAATAAACAGTGACGAATAAGTTTTTACTTACTCGAAAAAACCAATCTAAATCCCTCAGATAAATATAAAAGTGGAAACGTGACGGTTGTGATGAATAAAATGCAGTCACGTGTCAGCCACTTTTTTTTTTGCCATGGCTATGGTTGTATATAAAGACGTATGGGCGTAATTTAAGTTAGTAATCTCCAAACAAGATTCAAGTAATTTACACATGCATTGGTGTGATAAATAAACTGGTTTTAATCAAAAAGATTCATTTGCGATAGAAACTATATATTATCAAAAAAAAAAAAAAAAAATGCTATAAATACAGTATACTGTATTAATAATGATAATATTTTTAAAGCAATGCGTGGAATTTAATATAAATTTTACGATATTATATTTTTTTAAAAAAAAAATTCATTGATAACCCGAAAAACAATATTATTATACAGCGTATACTTTTTGATTGGTTAAATAGATCATTTGTTTTATAAATTAGTAAGTATAATCGGTTATTATAATGCTTACATAAAAATATGATACAAATTAATTAAATTAATTAATTAATTAATTATAAAAATGAATTTTTTTTGAGCGAATTATTATCTTCTTTAGTAGAAACTAGTGTTGAAGCAAGGAGACATTATTAGTATTTTTTTTTTCTCAGAATAAATATAAAAATTTAAAGTAAAAAATTATATTTGTTATAAATTCACCTTCTTTCTCTATATCATCTTTTTTATCGTTATCGGTTGACTTTGACATGCCATTATCTCAACATATAAATAAATTAGATAACAATAATATAAATTTATACAAAAATGTACATATAAATTAATTACCCTTGATGAGCCTGATAGATTTTGTTTTTTCTGATATTTGAATAAGTAAAATAACATATGACATTTCGAATGAGGCGTGTACAAGGCTTATTACTAGGCGGCACAATTATATGTACTTCGCATTGATTGTCCAAATAAATCACACTAATTTTAAATTAAATATTAAAAAAGTCTAAAAAGTTGTCAAAATTTGGAATTTGTAAATTTCCTGCAACCTCTATTACGTCTTATAATTTTCTACTCTTTTTAATCTTTTGTTTTTCCTAGGGAATTCTTGCGAGAATTAGACCTTTTTTCTAAAATTTTATAAGAGTGGATTATAATCATTCAAATGAAAAATTTTGAAGAAATATAAACTTACGAATTTTTTTTTTCTTTCGTCTTTGACCTGTTGACCATAGATCTGATTTTAAGAAAAACAAAATAATGAAATTTTATTGGTCTATATATCTCATTATGACTTCTAATATTTAGATTTCATGAATAAAAAAAAAAGGGTTAAAGAATTTCGGTGTATAAATCTGCGGAATCAGAATTTAAAATAATAAACTTATTTGTTAAAATTAACATATCTTTAATATAGAACATCCGATTTCAATGTCGTTAGCATGTGGTTATAACTTATAAGGCCATGCACTTTGTATTTTTTTTTTTATTATCCTTTAAACGGTAAAAATATTTCTACCAATTATTACAGTAATAGTCAAAATTTTTAAAATGAAATTGATGTTATTAATTTTATTAGCTAATTTTTTTAATTTGTACCATAATACAATCCAAAGTTTCAAAAAGGAATGAAGTCGTAAAACAAAATCACAAAAACCAAAACAAAGTATAATTATAAAATTCGAAAATCAAAATACACACTAAGCAAAACAAAGAAATGCATAAAAATCCAACAAAAAAAGCAAAATGTAGTAAAACTGACCAAAAATGAAAAATAGAAAAATAAATGATAAAGAAAAAATGAATTCCCAAAGATTCATCATATGTTAAATTATATGTCACATAATGTGGTATTTCGCACAATTTATCGATCCTGTTAAAATTTAGTAATAGAATTTATGAAATATCTAATAATCTTGAACGTTTATCGTTTATTCGTTAAATCATTATAAGCCTCGTTCAAGTCTATATTAAAAAAAAAAGATCAATAATTTAAATATTTTATGCCATTAATTTACAAATCACTTTACCGTTCAAAGAAAATTTGTAAGTTTGAGTAATATATCTAGAATCTAATAATAAAAATTATGTTAATTAAATATTTAATTATTTCAAAATAAATGTTATGATATTAAATTTTATACCTTCTTCTTCATTGAATATGTCATTGTTGACATTAACATCCTTATAAGGAACTACTTGTATCGGAGATACTTGTTCTATATCAATTTTAATTAAATTTTAGTAATATAAAATATTATGTCATTAATAAATACTTATTTCAATAAAAATATTTGGTCATAATTTCAAAATCAAACCGGTTTTCTGTTTTTCAACTAACAATTTAGATTTAAAAATAAGCAAGTTTTAATCATTAAATAATTAAGTTATAATATAAATAAACTTACCATATATATTGTCTAATCATATACAAAAGGATATTTATTTAATTATTGTTAATGGAAAATAATACAATTGCTAACTAATTAAGTAATTATAATAAACCTACTAACTACAAATATAAAAATTAAAGCTATAATTTGGCAAATAATTCAATTATAATAAAACTTACGATTATTATCTTCATCCTCATATTCTATATAAATTAATTATTAGCAGCAATTAATATAATTGTTAGATAATTAAACTATAATATAAATAAAACTTACCAACTATAAATTATAATCCGAAGGTATCCAAAAAATTAAAAGCTTTAGTAATTATAATTTGGCAAATAATTCAATTATAATAAAACTTACTATCATCAGATTCTATATAATTAATTATTAACAACGATTAATATAATTGTTAGATAATTAAATTATATTATAAATAAACTTACCAACTATAAATTATAATGTGAAATATTTCCCGAAGAGTAAAATTTTGAAAATTAGTAAATAATTTAATTTATTAAAAAATAAGCTATAATATAAATAAAAAATAAACTTACATTCTTAAAAAATGTAGCATAAAAAAATCAAAACATTGATGTTAGTAGTTTTATTTAAATAAATAATTAATTAATTTAAAAGAGCACATCATATATCGAGTGCATTAGTCGTCAATAAACTTACGAACTATAAATGTATTTATAAAAAAAAATTAAAATATTGATTTTTAGTACTCATAATTAGCAAATGTTTTAATAATTAGTATATAATGCAATAACTTACATTCTTTAAAAATGTAGTATAAAAAAAATTTTGATGTTTAATAAATATAATTGGCAAATGTTTTAATTATTAAATAATTAAAATAATATTAAATAAACTTACTACTAGTACGACTTTCTTAAAGTATTAATATTAAATTGCATTCCAAAATAAAGTTATGCAACAATTAGTAAATGATTTAATTATATATTAATAATAAGTCATAATGTTAGTAAACTTGCTTTAAATATAGTAATTAAAATATACTTACGTAAAGCATCTATTAACCAGAAGTTAATAAAGTTTTGATATTTAATAGTTATGATTTATAAATGATTTGTTATTATTTGAATAATTAACGTATACTTTATCATATTTTAAAAAATATTGTATACTGACTTTTAAGAGTATATTCATATGAGTGCTTTAGTTTCATATTCTAAAAATACAAAATGAAATTAGAATTTACTTAATTACACACATTTAAATATCTATATATACCTGGTTGGATACTATTTTCATTTGAATCTGTTACATAATTAGGTTGAGTTGATGTTGATTCAGACAAACCAAAAGCAATTTTTGACGAAATCGTATCATCATCAATCATTTTACATAGTTCCATCATTTCCTCAAATAATTTCGGTAAATGAGAAGCATCAGGTCTTTTTAATGGTTCAAAATTCCAACATTGTTTCATAAGATTAGAATAAAAATCGGGCGTTCCTTTAATATCTTCGGGTCTCAGTCCATCAAGAACTGCAAGCGCAAAACCTGCGTCATGTTGTCTATTTGAAAATGGTGGTTCGTCTGAAATTAATTCCCACATTATCATACTTAAACTATACACTTCTGATTGTTTTGTATATGGTTTACGTCTCAGAACTTCAGGAGCGATATAAGGTAAAACTCCTTGAATGCTATCCGAAGTTTCTAGAAAAGCAAAATATAATTTTGTTAATTATTTTATGAAACAAAAAATTGTTTTTCTTTAATTTTTACCTATTTCAGAGTCAATTGATTGACAAAGTCCAAAATCACTTATAAAAATTCTATCATTTTCGTCTACTAAAATATTTTTACAATGAAAATCCTTATGAACTAGATTCATTTGGTGAATTGAATTTAAAGCTTTTGATAGTTCAATAAGAATCTTTGCTCTATAAGTCCAAGTTAATTTTGGAAAAAATTTACGAATATAATTTCGTAGATCTCCATGTTCTGCATGTCTTATTACCATAGCGTATTCATTTCCTCCAGGTGCTTTTGTTATTCCATAGAATGGCACAACTCTTGGATTACGGCATTGATGGTGAATTTTAAGCTAAATAAATAATAATAATTAATTTCAGGGAAAAAGTTTATTTCTATTGATTTTATTTTTTCTTACCTCGTTGAGGATATTATCATTAATATTATCGGAATCATTAATGGCTTTTAAAGCAACTTTAGAAGATAATTGATTTGAAACTATTGAAGCCAAAGACATGTTTAACATTAAATTCCAAGTTCCAAAATAAACTTTGGAATTTCCTCCGTTTGTTAAATATTTTATATTTTCTAAATTTGAACGTGGAATCCATTCAATAAAATCATCACAATATTTTGAATTTAATTGAGTTTCTTTAATAAATTCGTCCAATATAGAATTCCCACTTATCTTGCTATCAATAAATTCCTTTTTAGTTATGTTTACTTCATTAATTTTTACGCTACGAGTTTCACTGTATTCATTTATTTGCGAAGAAAGGAACTGTTTTCTACAAAATTTAATTGAATCGTTTATTAATTTTTGATTACATTGTATACAACTGGTATCTTCTGATACATTCATTTTGTTTATTTTTTAGTAACAATGCAAAAAAAAAAAAATATACTGCATTTATTTATATACAGTATCTATTTAGACAAAAAGGACCTATATAAATGAGCCACGTATTAACGTCGACTATTAAGGGAAGATCTACGCAGTAAAGAATTAACCGATTAAGGTTGGCACAATTATTAGCATTTTCCGTACAAGTTACACTAAGAAATTCATGAAAGGTTGTTTATGAAAGAAACTTTAAATACTAAGTAATCTTCGAACCAAATTTCGAAACAAGTTACTCATACATGCATTTTAGTGATAAATCAATCGTTTTAATCAAAAGAAGATTCGAATTAACTGTTATTATTCAATACATTATAAAAAAAAATTATGCTATAAACATATTTATTATAACTTTTAAGGTCTTGAAGCAATGCATTAAATTTAATCTTTATACTAGGAAATCCAAAGCAAAATTAGAATTTGCGATTTTATTTGGTGAAGATCATGCATTTATTATGAAATATTTGGAAATTTTCGATTTTTTGATGCTTCAATTCATTGTATTAAAAGCAAGAGAATGGAGAAATTATAAAATTGAGAATCAAGGATAATGATGATGATTGGAATATCAAAAGGAAGAAAATTAAATTAAAAATTCGCAAAATAAAAAAAAAATCTAGTGGGATTTATTCACTTTAATTTATTATTTAGCGCAGTTTCTTTTTTATTAATTACATTATTAATTATAATACTTTTTAGACTTTTAGCACAAGAAAAAATTATTTGTACAGAAATTATAAAATTAAACGTTTCTTCTTTATCAATTTGTTTTATTTGTTTATATTTTATTCTTATTTTATTCTTTTTTCTTTTGTTCTCTTCAAGATTATTTAATATCGACATGTCGGCATGTCGTGTAAACGGATAGCTAATTATTATCATCAATTTATGATAAGCTTAATATTAATAATTATTATAAGTTTATTATACTTAAAATGAAAGATTAAGTTAACTGGATCGCAAGTTCTTTTTGGAGTTTTTTTTTGTATGCAGAACTGTGAGACAAATTTAGATATCGCGTCGCGTCCGCTTTTATAATACGACAAAGTTTTTGAAAAGAAATTTTCAACTTTTGAAGATTGCTGCGGGTGGCGAAGTAAATTACGACTACATACAAATAAGAAAGTGATTGTAACGGAAGTAGCAAATTTTGTACACTCCACCTTGCAGATAGTTTGCAGATCCTTAGATCAAGGATAAATAAGAACGAAAATAATTTAATATTCCAAAAAAGATTCTATTTCCAAGTGGGAGCCTTTTTCTGGAAGGATGGTAATACTTATAGTTTTTTTAAAATTATAGTATTTGGAATTTTATATTAGCTAGTATGTGGCGTATGTAGTGTCATTTTTACAAGTGTAACATTTGCATAGATTTTCAATAAAGAGAGAATTTCCGTCTAACAAAAGAAATGGAAGAGAAATTTCTTAAAGGTGGATCAAATATAGCTTTATCAAAAAATGAACGAACGTATTTTTTTAGGATGTTTGACGCAAAATTGGATGCAACAAAAATAAAAGAGAGATACGCATGGCAAGCATATAAAAAATTAGATGACAAGGAACAGGATAAAAAGGATTACGTTTTAGTAACAGAATACATTAAAAATACGGTGGACATTTTGCCAAAATTATCAAAATCAACAAAATCAGATATATTTCAACAACGAAAACGATATAATGAAGGCAATTTATAGATCTACAATGGACGAAGATATGGGGAATGGTCTAAAAATGAAAAATCAAGATGAATTAATAGGAAAGGATTGAGTTTATAAGAAAAGGACCGGGACCAATAAGTTTAGTGTACCTACATAAACAACATCTAAGGGTGAAAAATTCGTAGACGCACTATCAAGTCATCTTTCAACGACACCTCGAAGTAAAGAAGAACATGAAGAACTTGATGATTTGAATAATAAATTTAGCGAACGCCTGGATAAATTAGAGAAAAAGAAAGAAGATACAATGACAGAAGGACCTACGAGTGCAGAGAAAGAAGACAAAATTAACGATAACAAAAAACGTGTAGTGGCAACACAAGGACGAAGAGATGATTCCGACAGCGAATAAACAAATTTGTCCAAAATTAATGAAACAAAGTTGAGATCAAGGTTTCTGGATTTACGCTTAGATTTGGTTGAAGAAAAATACGCGGACGAAGATGGAATTTCGGACAACTTTTGGATAGTACATTTCTGTCAAGGGCGTAAATTTAGGGATTTCTTTTTTCTTAATAATTAATATTAATTTTTTTTTTATCTCAATTTGTCTTTAGTTTACAAATGATTTTTGAAAGAGATTAATGTTTTTAATTTTTTATTTTGGTCAATATCATATTATTTTAGTATTATTTTGAGATGTCAGAAAAGTTTAGAAAATTTAGAAAACATAGAATAATATCAAAAAAATCAAAAAAATTCAAAACAATTCAAAAAAATTCAAAAAAGTTTTAGATTAGTAGCGTTTTTAACACAAAAAGATAGATTTTAAATTAACAATTAATTTTTAGATTTATCATAGTTAGTATTTGTTTAGATTCTTTAGAATAGATTGGTTAGTTATAGAGGGTAATATTATTTATTTATATTATTTTCTAGGTGTTTGTATAATTATGCAATTGTCTTGATATTCATAATTAATAAACGCGTTACTAATTATAAAAAAAAAAAAAAAAAAAAAAAAAAAATAAAGAGAAATTTTTTTTAAAAAAAAATATTCTTTCTTTTGTATATGTCATGCATATCATAAATTTAGGTAGTACAACGCAATGTTTGCTTAACATTCGCTTTGGTTACACCGACATTACTATTTTAATATTTATAACTTCGGAGTTAAAACACCGGTTTCAACCTTTCTTTTTTTTTAATTAATAAATATATTTTTATAAGAATTTAAAGCCTTATAACATATTTCATTATGTCATATAGTAAAAATAAATTAATTAATAATGCAATTAATAGATCATTTGCATTAATAGATTACAATATTCATAATGATATACACAAAATATATGAATTCCAAAAACAAACAATTCTTGATGATGAATCACTTATAGAAAATGAAAAATCTGAAGTAATTAGCTCACTGACTCAAAATTATGATCTTAATAAACTTACTTTTAATAAAGGAACAAAAAGAATTTGTGAAAATTGTAATCAAGAATGTTTAGCTACAACATAGTGAATATTGTATTCGAAACTATTCAAAAGCAAATTTTTCAAATTGGACATCTGGAAATGTTATTATTGATAATTTAATACAAGAATGTCAAATGAAATCAATTGTCCCATATAAAATACCAGAATGGATATCATATAATAATCTACAAAATATTGAATACCTAACAAAAGGTGGATTTTCAGAAATTTATACAGCAGTCTGGATTGATGGGCGTTTTATTGAATGGAATTCTGAAAGGCAATAATTAAAAAGATGATGTAGTACTTAAAAGATTAGAAAATGTTGAAAATGCAAATCAAAGTTGGTTTGAAGAGGTTTGTAATCTAAATATTAAAAAAAGAACAGATAAATTTTTGTTTAAAATTTTTTAATGGTTTTTTATAGGCTAAATCACATTTATTCTTAAGCAATAAATGGAATGATATTGTTAAATGTTTTGGATTAACACAAAATCCATCAAATGGAGATTATATGCTTGTAATGTATAATATGGATATAGATTTAAGAAGATATTTACAACAAAATCATAATCAACTTACATGGAAAGAAAGAATTCAAATTATTGTTTATATAATTAATGCACTATCAAGGATTCATAATGAAAATGCAATTCATAGAGATTTGCATTCTGGAAATATATTATTTAAAACTAAATTTTTTATTAAACAGTATATACGGAAATCTTCCTTATATAGCGCCTGAGGTTATTATTGGAAAAGAACAGACTTTTAAATCTGATATTTATAGTATCGCAATACTTATGTGGGAAATTTCATCTGGACAACCACCATTTATTAATTATGATCATGATTATGATCTTGCAATGCATATTGTTAACGGTATAAGACCAAAAATTGTACCAGGAACTCCTTCAGAATATAAAAATTTAATGAAACAATGTTGGGATGCTAAGACCACACAAATTCAATTTTTCGGTTCACGTAAATTGAAATTTAAAATCGACCCGGGGACCCGGGGTTTATTGTTTATTAGTAAAAAAAAGTTTATATATAAAATCGTGACATTTGATTGGTTGACTTTTAAAAGGGAGGAATTTATTTTCGCTCTAGAAGTTCTCAGCCGCGTGATAAACTTACCCACCAATAAATTTACGTCCTGATCACGTGATAAATTTTTTTATATATAAACTTTTTTTTATTGAAATTTGAAAAAGTGACCCGGCCGGGTGAAGTGAACCGAAAATTCGAATTTGTGTGGCCTAATCCATCAAAAAGACCTAATATTTATATACTTTGGAAAAAATTAAATGAAATTAAATTATTTTATCAAAATAAATCAGATGAACTAGAAGAAAATAATAGTTTCGAAATAGAAAATTATACTAGCAGTAGCAAACTATTTACAAGTAAACTTCATCAATTTGATAATCTTCCTGAACTAAGAAATGCAACAGAAGGTATTATATTAATTTTTGTTAATTTTAAAAAGTTGTATTAATATATTTAATTAATAATGTTTTATTTTTTTAATTTAAATAATAATAGAAGAACAAGAAGGTATAAATTAGACAAATTCTTATATAATTTTAATTTATAAAATTAATGATAATATGGTTGATTTTTTTATAGCATTTCATAGTAATAAATCATATGATTTTCATATTCGTAATAATAGTAAGTGCAATTACATATAAATATCATAACAAGGCATTATTTATTGATTCATTTTGCTTTTTTTAGTTGATGATTTTAATAAATTAAGTAGTAAGAAAAATAGTACTTCAAAAATAAACACCATATTTAAAGGTAATTAAATACTAATATATTTTATTTTGAATAATCAATGAATGAATAACTTACTGTATATTTGAGATTATCTAGTTAGCAGCAAAAAGTTATCCAATATATCTAAAAGAAGCTCAAAAAATGGCAAGTAAAATAATTTAAAATGTGTTAATTTTATAATAATATTAAACATGACTTATTATTTAGATGATTATAAGATTGAATCAATGCAAAAGCGAATAAAGAAACTTCATATTAATGATAATGGTACGATAAAACAACTATTTAAATTCTTAAAATAATTATTCTATAGCATATTTTTTGATTTTTAATTTTAATTTATATCTGATAGATGAATATGAAGCACATAACAATCCAAATCTTCATTCAGAAGAACAAGATGAATTAGAACTTCCTGAAAGTAAGAATTATTTTTTAAAATGTTTAAATTTTACCTCTTAAATTACCAAATTTAACGTAATATTTTTTTTTTCTTTATTTTAGATATTTAGATATAGAAGAATTATATAAATTAGATAAAATTATTACACCTGATTTTTTTTTCTTATAAATTATTTAAACACTATGACTTTCTTCAAGATTCTTAGTTTGTAATTTGAATTATTTATTTTTTATTTTATTTTTATTTGTTTTTTTATTTTTATATTATTTATATTATTATATCAGTAAAATATCATGTGCGTAAATTGAACGCGTTTTTATTAAATAAATTTTTAAAGTATATCATTAAATTTAAATTTTGTAATATTTTCATGTACGGTAATACGATTAATATAAGGAAATATATAAATATAAATAGCGCAAAAAGGCAAATTCATTAAAATAATAGTGATCTTTAATATGAATGAATTGTTGCAAACTGGCCGAAATTACCAGAATTGTCATAATTCTGGGTCCAAACCACATGATATACTTGCTATATATATTTGATATTTCACGTCCGCATCTTCGGTATTATAGCGCTTTCACTAACCAACATACATTTATTCTATATTTAAAAAGGAAAGGAGTTAAAAATTATATATATATATGTGAGCAGACAGAACTCGATTTTGTTGTTGGGCGATGATCCCGTGATCACGGATTTTTAATAACCAAATATTATGTATATAATACAAGGTAATTGTTACATAGTTTATAAACTAATAAGTAGTATAAGCATCAATTATAATTATAATAGTTATGCAGGTAAGAAATACTGTAAGATACAAATTAACAGAAAAATTCTGTATAATAGATAAAATTATAAAAATGAATTTTTTTTGAGCGAATTAAAATCTTCTTTAGCATTAGAAACTAGTATTGAAGCAGGAGAAATTTTAGTAATTTTTTTCCCTTCAAATAATAATTTTAAAAATTTTAGAGTAAAAAAGTATATGCACCTTCTTATATTTGTAAGGTTGTAACATCAAGCCGTAAAGTTGTAATTTTATGCCGTAATTGGTTGAATGGATGAAATAGGTGTGAATACTAATCTGCAATTCTAAGATACATAGTTGTTAGATAACTATAGAAGTGAGGTTATTTGATTAATATTAAAAAAAGTCTATGAGGATTTAATAAAAATTCTGGCCGGAATTAAGATTTTTACTTGTACAGTTTAATTTTGGTCATAATCTGATTATTTTTACTGACTGCACTAAATTGTGTCATACATAGCAGAGTGAGCAGACCGATAGTAAATATGATTTAATCATCTACAACCAATCACGACTTACGTATTACAACTTTAATACGATATATTCGCGGTTTGCACCTCATGTTGTAATCTGAAACGCTGTAATTATTATTAACGGCCAGCCACTTTAATGGATAGTATAAATTATAGTAAAACTTTAATTCTGAAAAAAAGATCAAATTAGAATTTTTCAATGAAACGTATTTTGATTTGTTTTAAATATACAATGCATTCAATATCTTAATAATAAATATATTTAATGTATATTAGATAATATAAAATTGGAAAAAATGTATAACTCAAACTCCTTTAAAAGAAAGATACTGTTAGTCTTATTTCAAAACAAATATTAAATATTAACAGTTTTAATCTAAAAGCTAACAGGTGAAGCTGAATAACTTTGGTGATTTTAACGTATATAATTTTACTAAACTTACCCTATAAAAAGTATTATACTTAAAATATACTTAAAATATATTTAAAATATACTTAATTTAAAAATTGCAAAATACTTATAATATATTTTTAATATATCTAAAATATACTTAAAATTATCTTAAAATATATGTTTAATATATTTAATTTTTGCCCA